AAGGTCGACAAAGTGCTGTGCTTGCCACGAAATCTGCACTTCAAGGTTCCCAAAGCGCTGCGCATGCCACGCAGTCTGCACTGAATATTCAATAGGCCATTACCAAAGGGTCCTCCCACTGACCCTATTTTGGACACCCTTTTTAGATGAAGTACTCTGAACACCGACGCCGGCCGTCTGTTGCCATCGAGGGCCGCCTTGTAGACGTGTGGCAAAGCGCATGCGGAATTGCACACTCCCGCACAATCCAGCTGATCCATGCAGTAGGTGAAGTTCTGACTGACAGCCACATTGCAATGAGCCCTTGGCAATCAACATCGGGTCAGATGGAAGCAAAAACCTGACGTGGACTGAATGACAGCAAATGACATTGCGCACCAATGTCATTGAACTAACAAAACCTACATGCAAGACAATTTCGCCATGGATGAACTGCTCTGCCAATTGCATGCCACCCTGCCAGCTCCTGGACAAATCGTTTTGATGGACACCGCTTCACATCCAATCTCCTCCTGACCAAAGGGCAAAGCAGGCCCTGTTCGGCACACAGGCCGATGTTCGTGTGCCAGACCACCGTGGCCACGAAGACGCGTCCGCCACACAAGCGGGCAACAACGCCAGCGTTTCTGCGAGTTCCTCTGCTGCTTCCGGCTCAGCACCGGAGTCCTGGCCAGGCAAAGGTCTGCTTCCTTTAAAGGCACGTGGCCGACTCACAGCTCGGCAGCCTCGCTCTGAAGTGCGCCGCCTCCCGTTTGGGACAGGCCAACTCCACCTGTTGTCCAGCAATTTGGACACGCACCCGCAACACATCCAGTCGATAGAATTGGATCATTGTGGCTCAAAATGGCACACCTGTAGAGAAGTTCCAAGTTTCCCTCCCTTGACCACTCCTGAACCTTTGAGTAACAGCCCGCTATAGCCCCATTTAAGGATTCGATGGGTTGACTCCACCAATTTCACTGCCTAAGCCCTGCCTCCACATCAGCGCACCAAAGCAAGTGGCAGCCAACCATGAAAACAAAAAACGAAAGCAACACGATCGCTCTTTTTTGAATCCCCTTGAACATGTACAATTTCAAGGGGTCGAAAAATAGATCCAACAATGCTTGCAAAATGAAAGTAAGACATAACTATAAACACTGCATCAAAGGATCCAAAAATAGAGTCGAGTTATTATTGATACTTCTTTACCCTCTCTCTGAGAGCCACTGGTGCGGGCGGTTCTCGTCACGAAGCGACCTGAATAGTCTTCCTATGGGCCGTTGTCCACTTCCACGATTGTTGTACTGGCAGTAGTCACTATAGACTATAGAGCATCTCAAAAGATTCAATAGAACGAGCACAACGGGGCCCACCTACATCCCGCTAATACTCATTCCTGTCAAACAGCAGGTATGAGTTAGTTAGAACAATCCTATCACTACGGCCCTGATGTATCACCCAAGAGGTATGCGGAGGTTCTGGATATTTGAAGCTCCACGACTGACTGACCGCCCTACTCCCTACGAAAAGCTGCTCTGGGCCCTACAGTGCTGGCCAGACGGTGTCGACGAATCAGGGGGAGGCCTCCCCTGACTGCCGAATCCTGGGCCGAAGCCACTTCTAGACTTCGACTGCGATCACGAAGTGCGGAAAACAGGGCGGCTGTTCCTCACAGCCGAACAGGCCCCTTCGTAAAGGCAACTGGTCGACCAGTGAGTGTCTTCCAATCAGATCGATATGGATCAACCTGTTCTTGATCGCTGGATCCTTCCATTCGGCGGAATGGCGCAAGTGCAAGGTAAACCGTTGTCGACCAAATGCAGAGAACTTGACAAAGTGAGGATCATCCATATCTGCGCAGTTGCCAAACGACAAACACCTGACTGTGAAGCTGGGGCGCTGATTCTACTGCGCGGGAAGAGGACGCTGAGGGAGTGAACGGAGTGAAGGACGACGCATCGACACCCCAAACATGTCCCGGCCCATCCATATATATATATATATAACTACTCCGGGGAAAAACAACATAGACCAGAACTCAATTTCAAGTGCGCTTTAACATGGACCACTGGAAACGCTGACTTCCTGGGGAAACGGTATTAGCACCTTTTTTGGCAATTTCTGGACCCTCACTAACATGGACCGTTCCCACTCTCAGTCTGTGATCGATTTTGACATGGACCAACTGCACTCTGACTATAAACTGAACGCAGGCTAACATAGACCGCGCCGGTAGAGATCAACATGGCCCGGTGGAGGCTAACATGGACCATGTCACACACCTCTAGGGGCCTCCTGAACATGGTCTACGTTAGTCTCAACCGAGGTACTGCAGGTGCAAAACTAGACAGCTCTTTTTGCACACGGTGGAGGCCAACATAGACCATACCAAACACCAACAGGGCCTATCTGAACTTGGTCTAGCTTAGAACGCAAAAGAAGGGTCCATTGCTAGAAGGTTGGAGACCATTGCAAGTAGGTTGGAGGCCATCGCAAGTAGGCCTTGGTGGGGTGTCATCACAAATCTCATGGCGAGAGACAGGCGCCAAACTAGACAGCTCTTTTATCATCTAAAGGCATAGCCCGGTGGAGGCCAACATGGACCGTGCCACATACCTCTAGGCCCTACCTGGCGCATCATTGGTCCACACTAAGTTTTCCAGATATCGAGTGAGGCATGTGGCTAACATAGAC